CCTCTTCTATGTTTTCCTCTTCTATGTTTTCCTCTTCTATGTTTTCCTCGCTGTTTGTTTGTCTCTCTCTGATTTCCGTGACATTTTGAAAGGGGGTGGGACGTGACACACGGAAGAACCCATTTCCTTTTGGAGAGGATTTGCATAAATGGGCAGATCCAGGATTTCTTTTTCACTTTCTTTAACAGGTGAAGACATCAACCTTGGAGGAGATCTGAACTCCCTGAGCCAACCTTTCAGTTCCTTTAAGGGTTGTAAGAAAATAAATAGACACAAATCTAATGAACTGTGATCTTCCAATTTTCCAATAATGTGGTGATAGGTGATATTGTATCAGTGTTGTGTTAAAACTTGCTTCCAAGTGGCCTAAAAATGTGTGAATGTAGTTTTAAATATAAATTTTCACTGCTGTGAGCAATATAAACCTAATTCTATTCACACCGACATCACAAAAATCTTCAAACCAAAAATATCTTAATAAAAGTGGATTGTTTTGTCATACTTTGTGGAGAAACCTCTCTGAGGTAAGCCTCTGCTCCTACCTTAAAGCTCCCATGTTGCCATAGTAACGCTCATTGTGGTTGTCAGCGCAGCGTCTGGTCGCAGCCTCCCCGCTGCCTCCCATACACACTTTACACAGATTCCCCTGGGAGCCAGGAAGACAGCCTTTCCAGAACACGTCGTTGTAAACTAAGTCAACACAAAGTGACAGACAGCAGTTTCATGTCAGGGGTGAAAACAGAGGATACCATTTAATAAAAATACAAGCAGGTACATAAAAGCTGAATATTGGTGAATATGTTGAATGAAGCAGCACCTTGGTTCGGATCACAGGAGCTGCTGTTGTGCTCCAGACTCAGTGTGTGTCTGTACGGCAGCATCCAGCCTGCAGGGCTGTACATGTGGCTCTGACAGGAGCGACGCCCTCCAAGGTTCCCGATGAATAAGTTCTTGCTGGAGCGCTTCGCAACTGCTACACCCACCACCGAGGGCAGCACTGAGGACGTTTCCATTTAAAGACAATAATAAACTTTAACTTTTAAGATCACAGTGAGTTTTGTGTTGAGCTGTTTTTCCTTTTTCATCTTACCATCTGTCTCTAGGTGAGTTAATCCCTCAGCCAGCTCACACTTTCTTCCTAGAGGACAAGTGAACACGGCACAAGCAGAGTTAATGTAGATGAGAACTGCAACTAAACTCGTGGATTGTCTGGTGATAACTTTTTTAACAACTCAACATTTAGTTTGTGAAATGTCAGAAAACCATGTGAGTGCCTTGTCCTGATGTTGATTGTAGAGTTGGATGATTTGGCTAAAGGCAGAAATACAATGAAAATACCTTTAGGATTCTCCATGAGAAGTGTGTCAAATATAAACTTTACAACCATTAATTGATCCATGTGAAATTAGTTGTTGTTGTGAATTGAATGTCATCATACAACTGAACAGATTCTGGTTCTAAGAAGTTTTGTTTTTTAACAATAAACTTGTTTTTTAAGATTATCTGAGTAATTTTTTAAATAAATAAAAACATTGCTGGTTTTGTATTAGAGTAAAGTAAATACCTTTAGGCTTTAGTTAGTTGGTTGGATGTAATGTGCAAGTAGGGAACTGACACGGACATTTTCACTATTTTCTGACATTGTATACTCGAAATTATAAACCAATCAAGTAACTTAAACATTTGAGAAGTAGCAGATATTAACATTTTGGATCAAATATCAAACTTTAGGACTAATGAAGACCAACAGTCAATAATGAACATAACTTTAAGCAATTCAATTATATGAAGTGTGCTGAATCACGTTAGAAAAATAAAATATGTGGAGTCCTACCATAATATTCTGTTACTACAGGGATGAGACCACATTTCCCAGCGATGAACGAGTGTGTTGCATCCAGCGAGGCAGCGTCCACCTCGTCCCTCTGCAGTAAAGGAACTGTAGCTTTTATACAGAGTGTGAAAATATACTGATATCATGCAATTTATAAAACTCACCTTGATTTTCTCGATACAGTCCCGCATTGAAACGGCCCTGACACACACCAGAGGGTCTGATTTAATACTGAGAGCCCACTGTTCACACTTCTTCTGCTCTGCGTGGCTGATGCAGCACCATCGCACCACGCTGTCCTGCAGTGAGCTCCCTGCACACATGCAAGTTCAATGATGTCACAGAATCAGTGTCTTTAAAATGAAAAGTAACAACAACACATCAGTGAAGCACCTTCATGTCCGAGGCCTTTGAGCAGAGCCACATAATCCAGCCCCAGCACCTGACTGACGTCCATGTCGTCCGGAAGGACGGATAATTTATACGTCAGATCTTTGAAGAGGAGATCGTTCTCCCCGAAAGCGGAGGAGTTGAAGAGTCGGAAGCGCTTTCTCTCTCTTCCTCGTTGACCAAACAGCATCTGAAGAAGAACAAAGAGTCCTTACAAGTTTTTTTTGATTGGGATAAAACAATTTGGAAATGGAGCACACAGAACTGATGTGTGATATCTGTGAAAAACCACAAGGACTGAATAAGATCTTTTTTTTTACCTGCACTGTCACAAGAAATTTGCGAGCAACCTTGCGAAAGTTGAATCGGGTGACGATGCCTCCGCCCGGACCTCGTCCCAGGTTACAGCTTCTGTAGTGGCTGAGAGGAGCCTGAGTTCCGTCAGGACACAGTAACTTGAACTCATCACTCTCGCTCTCTGAGAGAAGAGACAGAATATGAAGGGAGGAGGGAGAAAGGGCAGTTTGTTTAAAAAAAAAAGTATAATGATGATCTGGTATTCATTTATTTTGCAAATTTAAATTTTCCTTAGTCAAGCTACTTTCTAGCCTTTTACCCTCAAGTTCCTCCTGATATCATGTTTTGCCATCAGTAAACACAGAGGTTAGACAGCTGATAGGAAATGAGATGACAGGGAGGCCCTGCTCTGGCTTGACTCAAACTTGGGACGTTGCACAGACATTGCCGTTGTCTTAAACCTCTCCTTCACTTTATTTGGATTGTAACAGGGTTAATAAGAAAGAGGGAGAGAGCACAGACCTCCACCAACGACAAACAAGCTCTAAAAACAGAACTACTGCGTCACGGGCTGTGTCTCCATCAACCAGTCAAGTTGTGGGAAATATGTGACCTCAAACATTGACGACCAAACTTTAATCAGTTCACCCTGAAGTCAAGTGAACTTTTGTTCCAAATTTTAGGAAATGTGCGTGTGAATCTGTGTGAAACTTATAGACTCAACATTTTCTTGCACCAATATTGTCTGGACCTGCACCAAACTGTAACAACATGTAGATCTCAACACAATAGAAAATAAGGAACAGAGACAAATATTGCAACGTTAAGAGAAGTGATTTGAAATTTCTGCCTCTGACCGGATCTGTCCCAAAACTTTATGGCTTCCCTCCACAGAGTGTGATACAAATCACTTCAGTCAATTTTGCATATTACCGCAAAACAAATACACAAACAGGTGAGAACATAAGCTCCCTGGTGGAGGTGATGATTTGTAAGACATAAAACTCAATATTACCTTCAATGCTTTCGAGGGCTAAATTGTCCACAAATGCAACATCCCCTGCACCTCTCCTCAGACATCTGTGACAGAGCAGGAGAGGTAAGAGGAGCGACTCATTCATGTTTTTACAGTTATTTCACATGTTGATTTAGACCTGAGGGCCCCCTGGCTGTTGTAGAAGGGTTCACTATGGGATGTTTCACAGTGGTAATTCTTCTGGCGAATGTAAGATTTCTGGCCTTGGCACAGCGCACACAGACGTGGAGCCACGGCAGCAGCTCCAGGAACACAGCTGGCACTGAAGAACTTACTGACGTCTGAACGAGAGGAGAAAAACAAGTGAGGGGACTGAAAACCCAAAGGACCAAAAATGTGAAAGAGAAATAAAAAAATACATCATCACTTTCCTACATTCACTTCTTCATTACCTTGACTGAGCGGCTGCTCCTTTGACCAGCTCAGGTAGTTTCTGGACAGCAGGAAGCCGAGAGGAAGACTCCAGCCGGCTGTCCATCGTATGCCACTGTGACAACTCCTGAGTCCCTGCAGGGATCGGATGTCCAAGCTGCTGTTTCTCACCACAGCCACAGACAGAAGGCAGCCTCCTGCAGAGCAGACAAACACAGGCACGTATACTGGCTCAGATCACAGGGATGCTGAAGTTTTTAAAAGATGTGAAGCAAACCCACCGTCACTGTATATTTCCTTGGCGATGGCGACGAGGCCGAACTGCTTCACAGCAGAATAAACCTCCCCTGCGTCTAATGTCACGATATCAGCACGGTTTGCCTGAAACAAAGAATTTAAACAATCTAAGTTGAACTTCACAAATCCACCGGATGTTGATATGACGCTTCACACACCTTCAGAGTCCATTCATTCCAAAAACCCTCCGAAGAGTCGAAGGAATCAAACCTTTCCAGATTTCGCCAGGTCGCAGCATCAGTTTAAAACATTTTGCATTTAAATTTACTGCGATGTTGACACTGAAAATCTTTTAAACCTGGAATGTTTGCTGGGACGCTCCTCTGAGGGAACTTCTCAGCAGTACAGTAAGAAATTTAACAAAAGACACATTTCCTGAGCAAATGGAAGTTTCACCTACTGTGCAAAGATTTTCACTGAACACTAAACAAATCTTTGCTGCACCTCACAAAGCTAAAGCAAATTAAAAGCATTGAAGTTAACAAATATACTGTACTACTACGCTATTGACTTTCTTCTTTTTCAAATTGTAATTTAACATGAAGCTGTATGTAGCACAGTTTTCATATTATACTGTCATGTGTCTGTTTATATTAGGGAAAATATAGCCTCAGCTAATATAGCAAATATTAAAAATACAAAGATACCTTGGACTCTATGCAGGATGCCTTGATGCAAACAGGAAACCTCAACACTTACCCAGGTCTCCTCATTTTAACATTCCTTTGTATATTATTCTAAACCTCTGGAGGCCTGAACAAGATTTCAAGAAAATTGTTACTGGTGCAATGTATTCATTTGTTATATTGCCTCCTTTATTGTTGCCATAAGCTTTAGTTTTCTCCTGCGTCCTCAGCTGTCCTACTGGAAACATCTGAATCACATCTAAATCATTTCTTCCTTTCAACCAGGTGTAAAATACAGATTGTACAGGTGACCTGATGTCTCACCCTGATCCTTTCGATGCAGTCAGATGTGCTGGACGCTCGTATGCATGAGAGTCTTGCAAAAGCTGCCAAAATAGCTGAAGGCAGCACCGCCACCAGAGCTTTGGCCAGTTCTGCACACTTCCTCTGTTCAGGGTCTGACACAGTGCACCACCGCATCTTCTTTGCTGCCATTAAAGGAACAGTTCAAACGATCCACATACGTCAGTCGCAGAAGTAAAAACACTGCACACGGTACATCATTTAGTCGATAATATTTGAGTTATTTTAAGGTATTTAATGAATTTCTTTGTGCATCCACTCAATGTAAAGATCTGAATACAACGTAAACTGTGAAATTATTTTATTTCTAAGATACACTCAGTTTGAATAAATGTCATGAAAAGCAAAAAGCTCCACAAAGAGGAAGACATCATTCCCAGCGACAATCAAAAGCTCAAATTACTAAAAGAAGAAGAACAATAATCAAAACAGTTGTTCTTATAGACAAAACAACTTGTCAATATAAACATATAAATAAGAAAAACGTACCCATGATGCAGCAGACAAACATGTAAAAGAACAAAATTGCATAAAGTCCACGCATTGCTGCAGCTCAAAGATTTGGACAAATCTGTCTAACGCAGAGCACAACACACAGTTGCCCTTTCTGTTCGTTTTCCTGCCAAGATCCTCTAAAAGTGAAAGAGACGCTGGTGCTAATGGGGAAATAGAAAACCTATTGCGTAAGGCCACTCCTCTGAGAAAGTCACTTTTTTCACACATATGGAAAATATTTAACACCAGCTGTTGCAAGGACAACCCCTATCCAACGTTTTCATAGAAGTGTCGAGGTGAAGACGCCTTTTAAGTACTTGGATTTATATGCAGAGACAGTTTTAAGACCATTTACATGATATTTAATAATAGTAAAAAACATCACCTGGACAACACTCACACAGCTGAGTGCTACAAAGTAAAGTTATAACAAAATATGCGTCAGAATGTTTCTGATTCAAATCTTTGTCATAGTCTCACATCATTTTAATAAATGTGATCGTAGCAGACGAACAGTCCGAATGTGTAGCAGGTGTAATCACTCTGGGAGTGTGTGAGGACCGGTTCTGTTTCCAGTCACGCTGTAAACAGTTTCTATCTCTCTTGTTTTCCGACTGAGAGCATAAACTCCCGACGTGTGGAGGGCAGTCTGTAAACGCTCGATCCTCTCTGCGTGCAGCAGCATCGTTGGTTTCTGATTCGTCAGTTCGGAGGAGAGTCTGTCGATGCGCTCGTCCAGCTGTCAACAACAACAACATCCATTGTGACACAGGCAAGATGATATCCAGTGTCAGTGATTTGATACAGTTTCCATTGACCACTGACTGACATACAATTTATTGCTCAAACGAGGCCTTAGACAAATACATTCCAAGCTATCAGTGTATCTTTCCAAATTCAATGACCTCAGACAGTTTAAAGTATGTCCACCTGTGGGAGAGAATACCTTCATAAATGATTTTTTGTGAAACATGTAACATGCAGATGTGAAACAGCGGGGCAAGTTAAATTTAAGGTTAATGTGTTACACATGTTCTCCCTGTGTTTGGGTTCTCAGGCTTTCTCCCACATCCAAAAACATGCAGCTTAGCTTAACTGGAGACTCTAAACTGCCTGTGGGTGAAAACCTGAGTGTGAGTGGTTATTTGTCTGTATGTGTCAGCCGTGTGATACGCTGGTGACTTGTCCAGGGTGTACCCCACCTCTCATCCAATGTCGCGAGGATCAGTGGTACAGATAATGGAAGGATGGACTGACTAACTATTATGTGGCAGATAAAGTATTGACTTTAGGCTATTGAAAATTTCTCTGACCATTGTTAATGACCAAGATCATCATCAAACACATTGTGGATACAGCATATCTTTCTCATTGGCAATACATGGTTTTCTTTGTAATTTATGGTTCGTTATTGGTCAAATTAATGTGGGGACATTCAGCAAAAACATTTTTTTAACTTAAGTATTGTTTGGTTTTAAATTATTCTACAAATTAATAATAGACTTGACCTAAGTTTGTTGTTGATGTTTGAAACTAGGAGAAAATGTAGAGACTTGGAGCAAAAAAAAACTAAATCAAGGAGTAAAATAACTAATTGTTAATCACAAACCAACACTGACAATTGTGTCCTCTTGCAGCCACTGGATTTTGTGTTTTTACCTGTTGAACATGTAACATGATCTGATCTTCTTACCTCCTTCAACTCCTGACAAACAGAATCTTTTTCCATTTGCTCATCCTCTCCACTGGTCTGCAGCCAACTCTGCAATACCTCTCTCAGTTTCTGCCATGACCTGAAGACACACACACACGGACACACACACACGGACACACACACAGTTACTATAGTGACAACATAAACAGCAACACAAGAAGAAAGGAAAAAACATCTCTGTTCTTTACCTGAGCTGTTTCCTGTCCTGTTGGAAACTCTTCATGTTGAGCTGAATGCTGAGCAGTTCTCCCGTCAGAAATGACGCTGGATCACTTCTTGCATCTTCTACATCAAGACCCTTAGTTTGTTCATGAGACGCTTTCATATCTTACAAAAGCAAAACAAAATCAAAACATAATATTAACTTCAAAATCTTGTTTTTTCATAATCATTGAAAAAAAGCAGCTGACATACCTGGATACCTGGAGTCATGTTTGAAGGGAGAAACAAACTGATGAAAAGAAACACGGGGGATGTCTCCAGTCCCTTGGCTGCTGGCTTTTCCCAACTTAAAAAAAAAATCATAACGAAAAGTGAGTCTCACTTAAGCACTGAATTTGAATTGATATCTGTCCAAATCAACCAGGTGATTATTACCATAGTTTGAGAGCCAGTGTTCATGAAAGCAGAAGGAGGCAGAAGAAGGTCTTTGCTTCCTTGAGAGGAGTCCACAACCGACGCATGAGTTTCAGTGGATGTGATGGTGCTCTGATGTGTGGAGCTAACCAGGATGTTCGCAGAATGGAGGTCGGTCAACAATGTAGTCTGGTTGTTCTGCCAACTGAAGAGTTCTGCAGCTGATTCAGGGTCGGTGATGCCCGGCTGGTTTTGGGTGCTGAACAAACAAGAAAAATGAAAAACATGTTTATCAAGGTTTTAACATGATGTTTCAATTTAGGATTTGTGATATGAAATACATGTGCAATATCAAAAAATGATGTAGTGGTTGTTGATGATTTAGAAAAAATGTGTCACTTAATTCACGAGAGATTTACCCTGTATGTAGCAAGACTGAGCCTGGAGATTCAAACTGTTCTCTGCAGTGACGGGGCTGTCGTCGAGTTATCTTTGTGGGAAGCCTGAAAAGAAAAAAAGATAAAGTGTGAGACTGAGTCCATGTGTTGAGAGATTCAGATTAACGGTGTAAGACTCACAGCTTGCTGAGCCCAACGTCTTCAGTTTCCTGCTCCACTGAGTCAGACGATGAAACTTTCTCTGGTCCACGTGTCGTCAAACAGAAGGTCACGCTCTTCTTCCGAGGTTGCTCTTTGACTGTTTTTTCTCTTTGAGGTTTACAAAGCGCCCGCTGCTTCCACCGCATAGCACAACGTTTGACCACTCTCTGGAGATGCCGGGATGTCTGCAGGACACAGGCAGACTTAAAGAATACTACTACTAGTACTCATGGTGAAGTGATGTAAAATTTGCACACTCAGATACCGACTTGTTCCTGGCTGTGCTGCGTGAGGCTCGTCGTGAGATCGTTCATGTGAGCAGCATATGTGAGGATGCACGTGACGCCCTCCCTCAGCAGCTCGTCTCTGTAGACCCGTGCAGCTATGGCCACCTGCTCCTGCTTCTGGCGCTGCTCAGTGACCCACAGCCTCCATCCATACAGCACCTGCAGCACATGCACCGAGACACATCAAACGCTTTAGAGTGAGAAGCAACTTGAATTCATCATGAGGCTCTGAGGAAAAAAATGTGTTACCTTGGACTGAAGAGTGAGAGACCAGTGCCAGAGCGCTTTCTCCGTCTGCTTAGCTTCTCTTCGTCTGTGATGCAGCTGTTAACAGGAAATAAAGTGATTTAAATGTAATTATTTGGCAGGTGCTTTTATCCAAACTGAGGGACAACACCAAAGCTAAGGTACAGTACAGAGGTAATTAGTGCTAAGTCTGTGGAGATGAGGTAAAGAGCTGCACAGCAGGTGATAGTTAGACATGTTAGGGTTTTACAGGTGACAGGAGAGAAAGTGTTCTCAGAAGATAAACTCACAGCCACCTGTCATAAATCAAACCACATTTATTCCATAGCTACTCACATTCATTCTCCATGTGGCAAGTTGAACTATTAGCACCACAAGAAAAGAAAACCATACAAATAAGAGTGGCAATTTCTTCCTTATAACTGTGACTATCGGTTTTAATGGGCATGTCCAGTGTATTTCTATTAAGTTGGGAACTGATCTTGATGTGTAAAATCAGTGGGGTGCCTCTTCACATCAACAAACCTTTGTTTTCCATTGTTCAAAGTAGGTCTGGCACATCTTCAATCTCAGCAACAAGATTCCTTGTCGTTTCATCACCTATGAAGATGAAATATTTTTAAGAATTCACATCACAGGGTGGGGATTTACAAAACAATTAAGGGAAAATACATTATATACCTTATTTTTCCGGTTTTGGTCTTGATACTTATTCCAATGTTTCAGGGCTTTAGAGAGGAGTTTGGAGTCATGGTGCTGTCTGGCTTTTTCCATACACATCCTCTCTTTGCGAGCCTCTCTGGTTCGTTTCCTCCACTGTGTGAATGACCGCAGCAGAAACACTAAAGTGACAAAAAGGTTTCAAGAGAATTTTTCTAGAGGAATCTTGTGTTTTTTTACGCAAGACATCACTGTTGAAATGCAGGGATATTTACTTTTGTAAGGAAAGACACACACGTATTCTTAGGTTTGTATCTTTGTGTTTCTCTGTGTGGGGTGTGTCTCCCTCTATCACATTCTGTCTTTTTTTATGTATCTTTGAAATTTCATGAATGAGCTGTACACCGTGTGAGAGCCAATCAAAATGCATTAAACAAACTCTTCTTAGGTACGAAGCTGAAGGTATAAGAAATGTACATTATTTTTTAGAAAATAACTATAATGTAGATTTTTATAAAACAATGCTGTTTGTGGATTTGTGTTCTTGATACCTTGGTTTATGGATCTCTGGGCCCTGCTCACTGCCTCCTCCTGCTGGTGGCGCTTTATCATTGCAAGTGTAGTTGCTTCTCTCCACACAAGAAACACCTTTGGAGGTTTACAGCAAGAAAGCAATAAACACAGGCTCGGATAAAACAATACGTTTTGAAGATTAAGGACCAAGACTGATTTCAACCTTGGACAGAAGAAAGTGCTGAGAGTGATTCAGTGCTCGTTGCTCCAGGTGTCGACTCTCTGCCTGCAGCACTGCATTCTCCCTCCACACTGACAGAACCATTCTGGAGAGACATGACTGAAACTAATGATACTGATACAAACCTGTGGTTTTTGACTAGAGGAAGACAGCCTCACAGCACTAAATCACTACATTTGTGTTTATTACCTGAGAAAGTTCCCAGTTTTCTGCCTGTGAAGTTCCTCTGCCTGCTCATAGACTTGAGACATTTGTAGATTGTGCGTCTGTTGATGCAGCAGGCCACAGTGTCAACAGCTTTCCCATTAGCTTTATCAAATCCACTGCATGATATCATGTGATTACCTGTTACTAAGATATATAATAATCGTATCTACTACCTTCCAGGCCACAAAGGTGCATTTGAGAAGTTTAGTTTCATGGAAACGCTGCATCTCCTCTAGTTTTCTTTTTTTCACTCTTTGGATCTGGACAAACTGATCAAACACACAAGGATCAAAAACAGGAGGTCAATCAGCAACTATTTGGAAAAAAAGATATTAAGATGTACGGACAGACAGAGATGAAAAAAAGCACCTTTTTCCATTTCTCCAGAGCCCATTTCAAGCAGCACAGGTCACCCTGATGATAGGCCTGCTGTTCTCTGCTTCTCCTGTCACAGAAATAAACAAACCTGTAAGCTCACAGCACTGAGAGCTCACAGCTCTGATATACTTACTAGTACTGGTACATACTGTATATACTGGTACCTGGAACAGTTAAATCACTTGAGCAGTGCAGAGTTTTCCTCACCTGTCTCGTATCTCAGAGCTGTTTTCCTTCCACTGCGTCACTGTCTTGTGGAGAAGTCGTTGCAGGTACAGACGTTCTGAAGCTTCCTGTTTCTCCTGCTCACTGATCTTCTGCTCTGTCCTTTGCCTCCAGAAAGCAAAGGCTCTCTGCATGTGGTATTGCTCCTCATGAAGAATTGCCTGATAACGAGTTAACTGTCAGCATCTGATACACACATGTAATCAACATTATAGTTTTTCGATCTACTGCTGACGAACCATTCGCTCAGAGAGCATCTGCTCCCTGTGCTTCTCTGATCGTCCCCACCAGGTGTAGAACACCCAAGTGAAGTGACGCCGCCTGAAAACACAGGAAATGATCTGATCATCTCTGCCTGGTTAGAAAATAAATCTACAAGTCTGGAAGAAAAACGTCTTTAACTCACTGGTTAAAAACTTCAGCATTGTGTTTCCTGTGTTTGTGGAGTCTCCTCTGAAGAGTGAACTCCACCCATGAGTTGAAACACTGAGGCATCACACGTCCTGCAAACCAAACGTCTGCTCGATGCTCCAGTTCCTGCAGAAATATATTTTTTATTTACTATTGAACCAAAAGCATAAAGGGATTATTACCTCACAGACATAAAACATATTTTTTAAAGAGTAGTTGAAAAAATGTTGGCATTTAGAGTTAAAACGTATTAACTGTGAAATCAAGTTGGAAAATTTCACAGGTCTGCAAGTTCTGATTATTTTCATAATCAATCAATCCGCAGATTATTTAGTCAATTGATCGATTAATTGTTTTGTCAATAAAATGAGCAACACATTTTACAGAACACAAGGTAACACATTCAAAGAGTCTAAAACCCAAAGATATTAAACGTATTTTGACAGAAAACGAAGAAAATTTTTGGTATTTTTATTTGGTTATCAAAATTGTTGTCAATTAATTTTCTGTTGATTGACTGATCATTTAACTGACAAACTGTTTCAGCTCTAAAATCAAGAATTAAAAAAAAGAGAATCAGTATTTAGATTAACCCCTAAGAGTCTTGATCTATTTTTTGCTTTTTTGGGAAAGTTTTAGTCATTTTACTTTATATACAGAATTAAATTGTTTGTTGTTTGTTAAAAACACCTGCATGTGTCTCTGTTCAGCAAGTTTCTCCCTCCAGTTGTGAAAACAGCTGCTCAGCAGGGACAAGCTGTCAAAATGCAAGAAAGATAGATGGATAAAGATTCAAACCAAATGAATCACACAGGAATGACTTAAAGTGAAGTGTTAAAAGTACTGATGTAACTTTTTATATCAATAAATATATTATTTCACTTCAGGACTAGTGTAGTTGAAGCTAAAGAATGAAAGATGTGAATAAAAGCACCTGTAGATGGTCGCTGCCTGTTCTGTTAGAGGTTGAAAACTCTTGTCTTCCGCCTCCTCCAGTCGATCCTGCCACAGCCTCCAAAACTTCCTCATCATCTACAAGAGACACAAAACTCCAACCATTCAATCAATGCAGACTTTAATTGAAGTTCCTCACCGATCATGTATTTCTTGGTTGAGTGCTGAATTGTTGTCAATCACAGTTTGATCATAATGCTGGAGAGCAATGTTGTTGTTCAAGCGACGTGTTTTGTTCCAGGTGACGTTGAGAAAAAGTCCCTGCAGTCCAGCGCACTGCAACAAGAACACACAGTCTTCAATACATGAACTGATCACAAGCTGTATCATTATATGTTGTAGCTTAATGTTTGGTTCTTACCAACAGATGATGCTGGTGGTGTTGAACCGCCATCTGGTTCACTTCAGCTTCGTCTCTGCTGAGCGTCACATCTACTGATGAGCTCAAGAGTCAAACACCTGAATTGATAATTACAGGAACTCACAATTCTACAGTGCACGACTTTTGATGCTGCAGTAGAAAATGAAAGTTTGGGTATTGATTAGGATACAAGTTCTCCATCGCTCCAGTGCTCTGCGTTGGGTGCTCTGAATGGCTAACTGCCCTGCAGCTTGTAATCGCTCCTCCTCACTCCACCTGCGATGCAACGCCTTCCTCCAATTACTCCAACACATCTTCACCAGGCGGAGGTAACAGGCACGATGAGCTGCGGCTGCAAAAATCAAAACTGATAACTGAAAAATACATCTTAAAAGGTAAACACAAAAAGTATGTATAACAGGCGGGTAATTAAATTAACCTTGTGACGATCTTTTGGTTTGGCAGAAGGACACATAACTCGTCCACTGACGCAGTGTGTTTCTTTTCAGTTTGAGGATGAAGTGAAGTGAAGCTCTGGATTCTTTCTCCGTCTGACAACGAAAAGCTACGTGCATTTCTGTCCACTGAAGCCAAGCCTTTGCCAAAAGAGAGCAAGAGGACAGTGTGTATGCTGAGGCAAATGATAATGAGAAGACAAGAGTTACGAATGAGTCAGATGATGTGTTTACCCTTCTCTTTAAAATCAGCGCCTGCTGTTTGACAGTTTGCTCCTCCAAGGTGTAAAGGTCTTGTTGCTGCTGCAGCCTGGTCCGCCATAAGCTCCATGCAGAACTGCACAGTAAAACATCATGAGTGTAGAACTAAACTACCAAAGATAAGGGCGTGTCGGTCACTTCTGTTTGTATCCATCTCACAGCTCCTTCAGGGAGGCATCTCTACAGCACTGGGCTTTGTGACTACAGTTCACTTACTGCAGAGCTGCGAGTCTGTTATGCTCAACAGCTAACTCAATCATCGTCTTCTTCATACGTCTCATCTCTACGAAAACCTCCCACCTCTCCCAGACCTGACGGATCCGTTGCCTGTCAGCTGGTTCATGAAACAAAGTGATTAGTGTCACAGCAGCTTCTGAATGAATGACATGAGGTTATATTAGGTTGTATATACTCTCGTTTGAAAATGCATACCATATGATTGAGCGTTTTTTAGTTTACTCTTCTTTTCCCTCTGCAGTGAGACATATGTTCGCCAGCGATGAAACGCCCAGTTACACAGATAATACCTGAAACACAAAGTAATTCATACACATCAATTAAATGCTAGCAGGACAGTTGTCTGTGGCAATTTCTGGTTCTGTGTGTTTCCTAAGTTGTAGATCCACATTCTGAGCCACAGCCACAAATGGAACAACAATCTACCAAACTATAGTATATACATATAAAGCAAAGCCTTATTTACTAACGGTGGAAACTCCTCCTGTAAGATGAATGTAATGGAGTAAAAACTACAGATGAAGTATAACACCTAAATAAGTGTAAAGTACCTGAGATTTGTACTTAAGTACAATCTTAAAATGTTTGAGCTGACCTGTAGTGACACTGTGCCCTTGTTGTTAGACTCCACTCTCTCCTGGACGTCCACCACTCGTCTCTCCATCCTTCTATGGCTCGTCTCAGCACCACACTGTCATAGTGAGACCTACACCACACAATGATCCCTTCAGTGAGTGACCTCCGGCTCAGTTGGGACCCATGACACACAATGAGACTGAAGCACGGCTGATTTCCAAAAAAAACGTGACACGTCACCTGGCTTTATGAGGTGGAACTCGACCAAAGGTTTTCTCCATCCACATGTGCAGGAACTTTCTGGCCAGGTGCCTGCAGAGGGTGGAAAGGTTGGAATAAAAAAATGATACATGATCACCACCATTATGGACTGCACTGTAACTCTCTGAACTAAGCCACATTCATTCTGTCTGTGCAATATCAACGGTTCATGTGCAATTCTAACACTACACATATTTTCCTGCTTAACACGGTTAATATTAGTTTAATTACGTTCATATTTTTCAATTAATCGTTGCATGTTACTGACTGATGCATATTTTGACTCTTGCTGCTGCTGTTATACTGCAAATTTCCCCTTTATGGGACTAATAGAGGAATATAATATCTTATCAAGATCAGCAAATGAAAACACAGACTCCATTAGGGGATTCAGCACCTGATTCTCAGCTCCTTGAGTCTTCCACCTTTGTTCCAGTTGTATCCCAGTCTGTAAGGGATCTTTCTGCTGTGAGCTCTGCGGGCTGGTTTGGTTTCCCCTCCAGATCTGACACAGCTGGGACCTGTGTCTGTCCTCCTGCTGTGCCTCTGCATCACATTCAATCATCGGCGTCTGTTGTGGAGGTGGACCGACAGAGACACTGACACGCTTCATCGACCAGAGGAGACAGAAACTGTAACTCAGTGCCGCGCGTTTGTTTTTCCGTATCACGTGAGGACAGGACAAGTCGCAGAGATCCAGTTGCCAACGGCAACAGGCTGCGCCGCCGTCCTGCGCACTCTGCGTCAAACTGAGGCTCCGAGCGTCAGAATGCTCATTGCGGTGTTTTTACATTATTGAATGACGCTTTCAGACTGTAACTGACGCAGGTCTGACGAGAAGCGTCCCCCGTGTCCCCCGGCAGCGACATGTTTACCGCTCTGTGCACAGAAAAGTCAGGCACGCACCCGGGGTCCTGTCAGAGTAACGGCTCCACGCAGTACCACACCTCGACAGCCCGGGAGGGCGGAGCGGGACATTTTTAGCGTAGCGCGAGCCGATGGCTGTGACGTAACACAAAATCAAGCAAACCCCGAAACAAAGAATAGCTGTCCCCAATAATGCCTGATGTTTGTTTTTGGATTGTATTAATTTATACCTCTATAAAGCAAGTGGGGGGGTTTACACCGTGTTTAACGCTGCACACATGTTATATGCTACTAACATGTGCTATATATATGATGGTTCAAATTATAAAATGCGATACGACTGACGTATACCAGACTGTTGAACATTCTACAAAGGCGCAGCGGGCACAGTGTGATCTTTCCTAGGACCTTCTTAAAGCGGCGATCAGAGGAAAATTGGTGCTTCGACTTAGAAAACAGAGAAAGATCCGACTATTATTTGAGATTACACAGTCTCTGTGTGAATTAATTCGTTATTTGGACCCGTGTTATTGTTTTACGTTACCCTAGTACATATTGTGTTTACTATAATCTCTAAAACTACTCAGCCGGCGTTAGATTTGGTGCTTGCTGGGTGGGCATTATCCCCATTCCCCAGCTAGTTAGCTAGCTAGCTAAAGGTGCTAGGTTAGCTAGCTAGCTAGCTAACTATCGTGAGCTGACGCCGCTCGACCAGCCCCGCACACAACGTTCGAACCCAGTAAGTTGTCTCAAACCAACAGCTAGATGGTGTTTATTTTCAATCTTTTACCACTCATGAGGTGTCGAATTGACTGTGTCGCGAGCTAGAAAACCCTCCATCAGGCTAATTGTTGTCGCTTATTCTCCCAAAACTCAGTGGAGAGTTCATTCTTTTGGACAAAGATTGGTGAAGTGCTGTAGGTGTTATTGTCCTGGCTGAGGATGTATTTATTTCAAACGTATTCGTTCACAGACCAGGAACCAGAGGGAATCTGTTAATTAAAACCCAACGCCAGGTAATTTGTTGTAATTGACATTTCACGTCCCACGTTGGCGTCACTGGCTGTTGTCAATTAACTTGCTAATTGGCTAGCAGCGTTAGCTAAACCTTTCCCCATCAAAGTTAGCTCGTCCTCCGGTAAAGTGTATTGATGAGCTGATGACATTTTTGGCTCATGTTTGTATAGTTTTGTTTTTCCATCCAGTTTAGATCATTTGCTGCTTTCATCGATCATTTGATTAACATCTGCTGAAACAGGTATCAGGTCTAAAGACGAGCTTGATTAACTTTACTTTGTTTCCAACACAGACATTATTGGTATAGAAGCCGTTTGTTCTCTATCTGAAGTCAATCATGGAGAACGATGCTTGTGTTGAGCCGAAGACTGGCGATGCTGCTGTGGATGAAGTTGAGCAGCAACCGGCAGCCACGGCTCCACACAGATACACTAAGGTAACGAGATGAATGGAAAAAGACACAAGTTATGTGATAATATTCTGGCTGAATATAGATCTTCCCTATCACTACTTAATTTTTACATTTTTTGCTGTTTAGGAGGAGCTTCTTGAAATAAAGGAACTGCCAATCTCCAATGAGAGGCCAGAATGTCTGTCTGAGAATTACGACAGGTAAGTATTTAGTCTTTCTAGTATTATAATATTTAAATATTCTGTGGTTAAACACAGATAAAAGAAAATCTTTTTTTACTCTTTTGGTGCCACTTTGTTTTTTTTGTCTCAACCATAATTTGCTGGATCAAGCATTTGATTTGGTCCTAGCTAAGTTGGGGCTCGGCAGTGTGAGCATTTCAAAATACACGTGTCAACTGTAAAGCACTTTCAGGAGCACTTGCACAAATAACGCATGTTATAAAATTCAGCCCAAGCAGTGTTTAAACTGATAAAGGTTTTCAGGTGGACTGTGGCTGAACTCAACGCCAGCTGACCTGAGTACAAAAGCTGGTGGACCTGTGACATCCTGTGTCGACACAGACTGAATCGAGTTTTTGAAAATGTGTTGTCGTTGCGATATGAACGTATCTCAAAAGACAGCATAGACATGGTGCTTTTTTGAATAATTTCCGGGATTCCATTGATATTTGTCTTGACAGTAAAGAGGTGAGAGTGTCTTTTTTTTAACTGAGGTTATTCAAATGGTCTTTTGATAGTGATGGTGTCTGGGACCCTGAGAAGTGGCATGCCTCACTGTATCCCACTTCAGAGCGCAGCTCTCCAGTGGAAGGATTTAAGAAGGACTATGTGGATGACAGAGTCACTCTGAAACGAAGAATCCCAGGTAGAGTACGGATGTAGATTTTAACCAACAAATGTTCTTCAGGTATTTGCATGGTTCACTGGAGATTTTGTTTTTAATCGATATGAGTCATGACGGTGAAAAACTAGGTGAACAGAGATTTCTAATGTAATGCTCATCACAGCCAAGTATACAGTGTCCTTGGATTAAGCAAATATTAAACAATTTTAATTTCGCAAGGGGATAAGAAAGTTATTTACGCTAAGATCTTTGATCTGTGATACTTGATGTGCCTGTTTTAGATCTGTGATACTTGATGTGCCTGTTTTAGAGTGTGTCAACACAAATTGTTGTCTTCATTGTATTCAGATCCTCGTGAGCGGCTAAAGGAGGATGATTTGGATGTGATACTGAGCCCACAGCGACGCAGCTTTGGAGGTGGATGTCAAGGCAATGCTGCGCCTGCACCCCACACTCGTCGCCCAATTAGCCCCCTGGAAAATAAGGAGAATGAAAGTCTACGTTTAGGAGGGGCACGCAGAATTGGTAGTGGACGCATAATTGCTGCCCGAGCATTTGAGAGAGAAGCCCGTGCGGAGAAAGAGAGGGAACGGGAGAGAGAATATAAGGATAAAAGATTCAGGGTTGGTGTTGATTGCCTTCTGTCCATCCATAATGAATTTCCCTCAGTGTTTAGATTGTGAGACATTCAGTGTAGTGATGTCACCATTTCTTTGTCACAAGTATTAGGTGTGCAAAATAGCCCCTCTTTTACCTTATAGTCAGTTTATCAAAATGTATTATAAAATTGGGTCATTTTACAGGATCACATTTTCTATGAATTTGCAAAAAACAGTTTAGAATTTTTCTGGTGAATAAGTAAAAATTTTATTTTTGTCTTATGCCATTTTTTGCAGAGAGATTTTGGTGACAAACGGGTCTTTAGTGAAAGGAGAAGGAATGACTCTTACGCAGAGGAGGAGCCTGAGTGGTTCTCTGGGGGTCCAACAAGCCAATCTGAGACAATTGAGCTCATTGGATTTGACGACAAAATCCTGGAAGATGATAAACGCAGGTCCAAGCGGTCAAGGAAGAGAACAGAGTCTCTGAAAGAAGGCATGTCAAGCATCCTCTAAAATTTTCCATATGAATTAAAGCAACATTATCAATTTTAGTCATTTGTATTTGTTCAGTTTTAATCAGTAAATTGCTGATATTACTTAAATAACCAGCTTATTAATGTGTGCAGTAGTGGAATGTAACGGTGGACAAGCGGAAGAGCAAGATGTGGGTTTGCAGTCAGCCGACCAGGAGGTTCCCCACCCGGATGTTCTGCCGGAGCAGTCAACCGGAGACTTTGACTTCAATGAATTCTTCAACCTTGAAAAGACCATGCCAGGACTGGCTTCTGTAAGTCCTGGTGCACTGTGTGGTTGTGGTTATTTTTCTTTTATTTTTCTCTCTCCTTTATGCTGTTTACTAAATGGTACAGGTTTTAAAGTGTAACTGTGCTCCACTTGTTAAGAACCTCTTGGAGGCCAGATTGTAATTGTACCACAGCCGTCAGTCCTTTTGAGACTTTTTTAACCAAACAGTAATTCTACATGATACTTTTTATATTTAATATTACCTCTGCTGCACTGGCTTGATCTCACTGAACTTGATCTGTGGTGGTGGGTGTTGTAACAGACTGGTGCACTCTAAATAAGTTTCATTGGACTTTTGCATGGGTATCAACATTCAGAAGTTATAGCTTATAGCTACATTAGACTTGTTACTAATTAGAGAACTTTCATAACCAGTTTGCAAATAAAATGGGGTTGTGCTGTTAAATCAACTCAATGCCAAGCAGCAGTGCATTCATTGACACTGCCCTCAATCGTCCAGCACATTTTGTGCTAAATCGATGCACTCTATACGTAAGTGTTATCTTTGTTCTTGCACCCTTCTGTTGCCTGTCTGCAGATTTTGTGTTTTGCACTCTCACAGATGCCTGTTTCTGTCTTCCAGATGATTGAGGACGTTTTGGGGGAGGGCCCTGTGTCAGCCAGCCGCTTCAGTCAGTGGTTCTCTAGTAACCTGAGCCCCTCAGGCAGCCAGTCAAGTAGTCTGAGGTCCACTCCTCACGAGGAGCTGGAAAAACTAGCAGGTAAATGATTTGGTTTCCTTGGCTTGCCCAACGTTTGGCTGAAAATTTTTAATGCAACGATTACTTAAAAGTAGACCAGAGTAAAATAAGCGGACTGTTCTTAAATTCAGGATTAATACATGAACAAAATAAATTCAACAGTAACAACAATAAATTAACAAATTGTCTAGAGAACAGTGTTTTAGGATTTCTCAGATTAAGTTATCCCGATGTTCCATGACCAGATTGACCGAAGTGCCTTGATTGTTTTGACATTGTCTTGTAAAGCAGAAATAAAGTACCCCATCGAATGAAACCGGTTTTGACTGAAAACTTGTTGTGATCACCTTAAATGCTATGTGACTGCTGATCTATTTAGTACTTCCCTTTGTTGTGTTCAAAATCCTAAAACAGACTCTTTAATTTTATTTTTTTTGTTGAAACCTTGATTTGTTTTACTTGAAGGGCTCGAACCACGCTGCACGTCCCAGAGCCAGGGCCCTGTCTCATACTTCACACCTATTCAATCATCAGAGTGCAGAGAGAAGGTGGACATCCTGGAGCTGCTGCACAAAGCCAAAATAGACCTGAAGCCTCTTCTGTCCACCCTGTCGGTCAACAAAGCTCGGCTACGGGAAAGCAGTGAGTTTCAGTTCACGAAAAGTTTGTTGAGTCATAGCAAAACACTTAAATAGGAATATAC